CCCCAAAACCCCAAAACCCCAAAACCCCAAAACCCCATCCCATTCACTCAATATTGAATCACTATGCAAATCCTACAAATGTCTCTTTTGACTTCTCTTCTATATCTCTGTCCTTCTCATAGATTTTTCTCTTTATTATAGGCTTGAAAGGTGCTTTAACTTCCATATTTTCGATAGCTTCGAAATCAATATCGCTGAACCAAGGGTGGTCCATGACTTCTTGATGGCCATTGATGCCTAGTCTGTTAGTAGGATCTCTGTCGAGAAGTTTGGAAATCAAGTCTTTCATTTCTTCTGACATTTCTATTTTGTGCTTTATTGGGTCAGGGAAAACAATTTTTCCTTTTCTAATTAACAAGCCTAGCTTATGGTTATTCTTATCCAAGAAAGGAGGTCTTCCTGTTTTTAACTCATAAATCAGGATTCCAAGAGTCCACCAATCTACAGTGTAGGAGTGACCTGTTTGGTCAAGAACTTCTGGAGCTAGATATTCAGCAGTCCCACAGAAGCTATAAGTAGCCTGGCTTTCTGAATTCAAGAACTTTGCCAATCCAAAATCAGCCAGCTTGATGTACCCATCAGCCTGGAATAGAACATTCTCTGGCTTAAGATCTCTGTGTACTATCTTTTTGGAATGTAAGCACTTGAAAGCGATCACAAGCTGGGCAGCAATAAACTTTACCACATCTTCTGCAAACCTTTTCACAGAGTAAAGGTTTTCGAATAAGTTCCCTCCAGGAATATAATCAAGGAAAAAGTAGATTCTCTCCTCGTTCTGAAACACATAGTCCATCCCAAGCAGGAAGGGGTGCTTCACGTTCAGGAGGATTTCCTTTTCGTTCTTGTTATTCTCTACTTGTTTCTTCTTGACCAAAATATCCTTCCTGATCCTCTTCATTGCATAATATTTACCATTCAGCTTATTGATGACCAGGAAGACCTTGCCAAAAGATCCCTTATCAATGACCTGCAAGATATCAAAATCTTCAAGGCTCTTTGGCTCGAAGTCAGGAGACTCTTCTGGGTCTTTAGAGAAGAGGAGCTCTGATTTTTCATCATCTTTGAGCTTCTGCTCTTCTTCAATATCTTCTGGGTGGTTGAATTTCTTAAGATAGTTGTTAATTTTATCTCCTTCATCAGCTTCAACGATGTCAAACTCGTCGATCCATTCCTTAATATCCTCATCTTCGTCGCTAGACTCAGTGTCGGGGATAATCCTCTCCTCTTTGAGACGGAGGCTTCTCATGGGCATCCTTGAGATCCCAAGTGCGACATCTTTCTCCGTAGTTGTGTAGTTCTTCAGTGAACTTTGGGAGAATCCGAAAATCGGCAAATTTTTATTTACAAGTAATAGCATATAATTTCCTATATAAATTTTAAATATGGACAAGAAGGCCACGAAGAAAAATCAGAAGCAGATTGATAGAGATGAAATTTTAGGCAACCAGGTAAGAAAGTAGTACTACAAGCACTTATTCCTGTAGGAAGAGAACGAGAAGGTCTACCCACAGATTTCAGAGCATCTTCTGGTGTTTCAGATCGAAAATAAGCTCAGACAATCATGTAAATTAATAATGGAACCCGTTGTGGAGCAGCAAGAGAAGATCAGTCTTCTGATTAAAAATATCAATACCAATATTTCCAATATGAAGGCTGATATTGAGAGGAATGGCATTACTATCGGGGATCTTAAGAGTGATATGAAGAAGCAGTTTGGGCTCAACCAACAATTTAAGAAAAATAATCTCCAAAGAAGCCAAGAAATAGGTAAGTTTAGGCGGTCATTTTAGATAAATTGGGTAAATTTCTGACTTCTCAGAACGAAAAGATCGTAGATATTAATAATTCTATTTAATAAGCTGAGTGAAGGCCAAGAAAGCACCAATATAAAGATTCTCGAGACTCATAAATCTTTTGAAAGCATAAGGTCAAGCATGCTGGATGATGTTTTGAAATTCAAAACTCTGGTCGAAAGGGAAGTAGACTCTATTCAAGAGACTCGTAAGCACCCATATCTCATAAATTAGATACTTCTCTTAAAGATACAATGAAACTTAACGATGCGAGGATGACTAGCATTAATAAGGAGTTTGAAACATTTGACCAAAGTATATACAAGAACCAACTCAGAATCGAAACTCTTGAGGAGAACTATGACAACTTTAAGAAGGATTTTATGAAAGAAACTAATAAATAGAACCCCTTTTGATATGGTCACTGAAATTAGAGGTAATTTAAGAGGAAAACTCACAAATTTAGACGAAGTAGAGAATTTCAAATCCTTTGTCAACTTTCTCTCTGATAAAACTAAAGAAAAGGTTGATAAAATGCAACATTTCTTGACCAATTTTACACCTATCCAGACACATTTACAGATCTGAGAGGCTTTTGAGTGCTTAGAACATGTCAGTGCAGACCATAGGCTCAAGATTTTTAACACCCATAAGTCAAGAATCCTCAATAACAAGTATCTCTGTCTTATCAACACTCTAGGAAATCTAACAAATCTGAAGAATTTAATATGAGTTCGACAAAAGCTGAGTTGGAGGAAAGAATAGTGTCTATTGTCCAAGATCCTTCAAAGCCTGTTGGGAGTTCTACCCTTCTTAAAAGCATTAATAAAGAGGAGGAGCATAAGACTTGCCAAACAGATGTAAATTTACATGCTAATTCTTATAGGAGTTATACCCAAAGCGTACTCTCTATTGTGATCTTTCTAGGAAATGTGAACGACTTCCAAGGCAAAAGCAAGATTAGAGAGGTACCATTGAAAATAATCCCATAGCTATGGCTCGCATATTGCCCAAAAGATGCTTATAGGTACCACCCTCATATGACCAGATTCCAAAGAATTAAGATGAGGAAAGAGAGAGCAAGGCTTCTTAAGGAAGAACTTTTAGCTAGTGAAACCTCTGAGTACTATGATGAAGTTGATGCTAAGGATTCTTTGTAAGCATAGACTAATCTCTTAGGGATAGGCCACTACATAAGCCACATTATGAGCAATCAGAGTCAGAGAAATTTGAGAGTACTTATGAACTAACATACGTTTTAGGTAGCAATAATTCTGAAATCAATGACAAGTTAAGCCCTTTGCCAACAGAAACTATGCTTCCAAGAATGAATCTTGGAAACTTGAGCCCTCAGCTTGGATCTAAGAGGGAGAGTATTGGTTAAATTAACCATTCTATAGCATCAACTCCAAAGAGAGTTAATCTTGCATTGGAAAAAGTCCAGACCTCCTTTGAAGAATCTAAGCAGACTGAATATCAAATACAAAATCCGAAATCTGGATATTTAGATGCTACTATTTCAGATCAGAAGAAGGTTTGCTCAGAAAGTAGCTCTGAGATTTCAAGCAATAGTGAAAAGTCTGATAAGTACAAAATAATTGGGTCTCCAAAGAAATCAAAGATCGAAGAAAAGTCCAAATCTCCTATATCACCTTCTGCTAGTTTCTACCAAAATACCTCTAACAAAGAGGGCTTCAACGAATCTGTGGCTCCTAGTAGTCCATTAAAGCTAGATGGTGCAATATATAGCCAATCTGTGTTCTTTAAGAAACCTTTAATGAGAAGTAGCAACTCCCCTATAAAGAAGTGGCCTAATAATGACCCAAGTTCCCAAAGTAACTATACTCAGAGCCAGGTGTCACGAACAAATTCTATGGTCAGGTCTTTCAGGAGCAATAAGAAGATATCAGGAATATCAAGGCTAGCTACTGTTCGCAAGGAGGCTGAGATAAAGGTGAAGAAATACTTCACGACTAGTGTTCAGCCTGACCTTGATAAGAAGATTCAGAATATAGAAGCAGGTCTTCATGAACTAATCAAGAGAGAAACCTTAACTCAGGCTCAACTAGGTTTCGAGAGAATTGTTAAAAGTCAAAAGAAATTTCAACATAAAAGTCAGAAAATGGTCGATGATTGTCAAGCAAAAATCAAGGAAATGGAGGTAACCATACAGCTTGACTTCGTAGGAAGGACTCTTCTCAGATGTTGTCGGGATTTGCAAGAAAAATAAGAGGGATTATTTGGACAAAAAGGTAGATTGGAAGGAACTCTACCAAAAATGTGATGATAATCATCAAGAAATAGAACAGATTCATGATAAAATATTCTCTATTTCTGACGTGATTAACTTAATTCTAGAATTCCTCTCACTCCAGGTGAATAACAACATAAAAACGTTTAAAATGAGGGAGGAGCCATCTCAAAAATTGCCTCCTGTTGAAGAAGTGTCAAGAAATATGCTTCAAAAGCATCATAGGAAGACAAGCTCGAATGCTAACAAAAGCCTTGAGATGTGGCAGATAAGAGTAAGGGCTTTACCTGAGTTAAAAAACATAGAAAAACAGAAGATCTCCTTATCTTAATATTCCTTTGATGACTACTAGAGACATTCAGCCCCAAGAGACTGAAGTCATTTCTGCTAAATATGTGTATCTTCAGAAGAGGATAATAGAAAAATGTCAGAAAGCTGCTGAAGATCTACCAAAAGCTAGCTACCCCACTTCGAGGAAGGGAAATGATTCTGAGTATGAAAACCCAAAGGCTTTGCAAACTGTGGAAAAATCAAAAGAGTCTCCTGAAAGAATACAAGAAGGATGTCATAAGAGAAACCAATCAATAGGAACTTCACAGACTATTGAAAAAGCGGTAAGATTAGTGATAATCTGGTAGAAATTACTTGAGTTAAGCTACAGAGCAAGTGAAGAACCTCTGGAGCCAATGAAGAGGTCAATGAACAAGTCTATGGATTTATCATCGGCCAATAAAGCATTCAAGACGAGATTTATCCCAAAGGATTTACTCAAGACCCAATTTCAGTCTATTGGGAAATTGAAGATAAAGAGATAGTAACACCTATTGATTTCTGAAAATTTTGACAAATCTTGTCAGGTTATCCATATCTTTGAAATTTGGTAATGGACTTACTTTAAATTCTCAATAATTTGTTCAAAATCTTCACAATAGATAACTTCATCATGACTAGACTTAAGATGAAGGACAATCATATTGGAATTCTCTAGTGTAGACTTAGTAATCCCCTTCAGGTCGATAATCTTGTACTCCTTCTTAACTTTCTTCGATTCATTTCCAAGCATAGTCTTCTTTTTAAGTATAAGGATTCTTATATCAGTGATTACAAAGTGAAATGTCTTCCTATAAGCACATATTAACTTCAAACCCCTAAATCTAGCAGCCAAATATGGTCTCTGGGTACCTGAAAAACTTGAGGAATCCTCTTTCGATGGTGGTCTCATAAACAACCTCTTCTTTCTCCTTCTGGTATTCTGTAAATGATAAATCTTCTTCCATAATTTTTCCTAATTATTTAATAATTTTCATATAAAAATAAAGCTTGGGGTTTTGGGGTTTTGGGGTTTTGGGGTTTTGGGG